TACCAACAAAATGGGTTAGTCTGAAAATATCTGCACTGCAAACACGAATTCCCGTTGGAAATATTTCACTAAAAGGCTCAGGACTTGGGGAAGACTGGGTTTAGCCCGGTCTTACTTTCACCTTTCATGCAATCCTTTTGGTTCAACATCGACTATGGCCTCACACCGTGTCTTTTAACAGAGTGAGTACATTTACCCCTTAACTTCGAGGCCTTTTTGTCATTTTTACTTAGTTTTCTTCAAAGTTCACATGCAATGAACTCATGGCTTTCAAACGGAGCCTCTGCACGATTTACTAAATTCATACTGAAGTGCAGATGGCCAGTTCACGAAACGCAGAGCAAATAATAACAATACAAATAACAACTGTGTTTTCACACAGTCAGGAAAGGTGATTGGAGAAACCCTTTTTGAAAAAGCTGACCTAAGGCGATGAACAGAAAGAGAAAAAGCACAGCACTTAAATAGAGTTCTAACCTCGTAGACTCGTCTGTACTCTACAATACTGATCTCTCTGAAGCGCTGCCACAGGGACAGAGCACCACTCTCTCCCGTTTCAAGCCTCCTGAAGAACTCCCGCGCAGCTTCCTGCATGTTCTCATCTCTCTCAGCTTCCTTGTTTACTCGCACGTACACCTGCAGAGCAGACAGCAGCAGGAAATCAAGAAATCAATGAAGCACATAGAGATAATTCTCGCTTTATACCAGTTATGGAAGTTTTGTCTTTATAGCTCCCTTCACACCACAGCATCCCCAAGACCTGGACATAGTTAAATATTATGAAACCAAATTCATGTTGATTTATTACACAATTTTAAGGAAACAATAGTCTAATCCTACTATCAGGAAATATGCAGAGAATTCTCCTATTTCTCTGCTGTTGTGCTTCCCTCTGTGTGTCATCCACATAGACAGGGGAGAGCAAGTTTCAGGTTTCTTAAAACTCTCCAAAGTGCTTAGCTTCAAGTTTGAGACAATTTAAAGATAATTTCTCTAATTTTGTTGCATTTCTAGCAAATTTATTTTGGTTTCAAACCATTCCATTTTGTGGCAGTTGCAATTATTGTGTGTTGCACAAATGGCCTACGAACATCAAAATATTTTGTTGCTAAGTTACATCAGACTATGATTGCAATTTCAGTAACAATGGTTTGCATTGGCTTTGAAAGTATCACTTTAACTTAATCTTGGTGTACTCTCAGAAGAGAAACGTTGATTAAGAGGTTTAAAAATCCAACTATATGTTAACTTACATCAAACAGATGTTGTAGAGGGTTTACTTTTAACTCTTCCTCTGAACCAAACTGCTGAAAGCCAACTCCCAGCAGACCTGGAATAACAACAAAGCCATCAGCAGAAACAAGTCTTCAGTTTTCACAAGAAAACTATTCCAAAACATTTGGCTGAGAAAACAGTACTGTATATGGGATAAAGAGCAAATAATCTCATTAATGGCACTATTTGAATAATAAAATAAAATGTAAATGTAACAGACAAATGGAAGCAATTAATAATGGTGCACATTTTATTCCTTAATATTAAAAGTATGATGTACATCTGTATTGTGACAACATAATAGGCATTTAACTAAAATGAATCAACTGTAATGGTGTTCATCTAAGAACCTAAAACCACCAAACAGTTTTTCCCCATAAACAAGTTTTAATTGTGACCAATTAATACAGTATACACACATACACATCTGAAAACCTTGACTTGTGGTTCTTAAAAAAAAACCTTGCAAGCAAAGTTATCTTTTCAGTCATTAAAACTGATACAGCATGACTGCTTTCAGATACTTTGAGATGTACCAATAGGGTTACAATGATCAAATATTAGATATCTTACTGAAATTATTGGAATTCTGTTCTGCACAACAGTAAAACAGCTTTTTAAAAAACTGTTCAATGTCAAATGTCACTATTTTCACTGTGGAGACCAACAGTCCTTCCTCTACGCACTGTTTGAAACAAGTCACACTGGGGAAGCCCGTACACTGACAGTTTCATGAACAGATGGATGAGATAGAGAGATATTTTACTGATCCCGTGAGGGAAACTGCAGTGCAACAGCAGCTTAACACAGTCAACACAGCACAGTGTAACGAATGATCCAATAACAATAATACAATACAATACAATCAGATCAATTAGCTATTGTCAGCCAAAGGAGCGACAGACAGCTTAACCAAATGGACTCCTCTCACTTGTAACCTTTACTATGCTGAGGATTCATGTTCTAGAGATCCTTGAGAATGGGGTTCTTCCAGAGGAGTGCTCAGTGTCTCGACACGGATATCGAGTTCCCGATATAAATATCCCAAGTCACTTCCATGGGTTCTTTCTACAAGTTGAAAAGCCTTCAACTATGTCACACATTGACAATCAAAGCAAATGGAAATGATAGGAAAAAAAAGTGCTAATTGTTTTTAAAACCTTTAACCTTTGTAAAAGCTATTGATTGAAAAAAAGAAAAAAGAAAACGCAGACCTCAAAACTCAAACCACTTTGCTATGAAATGCTATTTGGCCTTAACTCCTCTCTCTTCTTGTATAAGACACACCCCCAGTAAAAGCGGGATTTTTGTTTCAAGCTCAATTTCCTGAGAACAAAGCAGGAGGATGTCTGGTGTGCATGACCCAAAACCTTGCTCTTCTTGTTGCAAATGCCCGCAAGAACTCGCAAAGATGTGCCTTCGGGTGTTTCAACCGTGAGCCTTTGAACTTTTCATCTGGTGCTCTGAATAGCGAATAGAAAAATGTATTTGCACTCACCAAACTGCATTCCCCAATCACCCAGATAATTAATCCTAATGACGCAGTTGCCCAGGACTTCCTTAAGGTTAGCTATGAAGTTACCTGTGGAAAACGGAATGCATGCTAACGTCAAAAACTGAGTGAAATCTCTCACATTTTTTTTAAAATATGTTTAGCAACCTTTTATGGATTACACATTCAGTCATCTTTCATTAAGCAAAAGCTATTTATAGAAACTCCCATTGCCACAGACTCTTAACCAATAGTTCAGGAACAGCCTGGGGATTAATGAACGAGCTGATTTCCCATGAGAAGCCTGTCCCCTACTGGCGTGAAAACACATTAAACTTTTCCGTCTCTTTCCAAGAAACACCCATGTAGTGAGCGTGTGACGTTGATCCACTAAGCAAGGGCTCAATGATGACCCCTTCACCTGTGTTGCTCATCTTGACAGTAGTGTTTAAATAAGAACAGAAGGAGATGAGGTTTGTGATGAGTGCTGTTCACCTAAGTAGGCAGTGGAACGACAAAGGCCAGAGTTGTAATATGCTACTTTACTTTTACTTGCATTGTACCAGATGGGAAATTTGCTTTGCAGGCAGTTGAAAGACATAACACAATACACAATACATCCAACACAACATGAACCTATTAAATAAGAAACATTTATATATGATGAAAAAAAGATATACTATATATAAAGTAAAATATGTAATCAATTATCCAAATTAAGGAGGTCAATAGCTGTGAAAATAAAAGATACTGCATTTGATCTAGGTAGTCTAAACCCAAGCTAAAGTATTGTAGGTAATTGTTTACCTGCTGTGTCAACTTCTTTCATGTTCTGTTTGCACTGTTAAATCCACAATGGTTAACAGCTTGAAACGGGCTTGGTAAGAGAATGATGGAATGGATGCAATAATTTGGGCCCAGGTGGTTCTGAAAACAGAACAGCCTCTGGAAGCCCAGGACCAACACTCTCATCACTGGGAGAAGATTTTAATATCTGCAGAAGCCTTACCGATGATGGTAGAGCGCAGATGTCCAGCATGGAACTTTTTTGCAATATTCGGTGAACTGTGAAACAAAAATGTGACAAATCACGATCACGAGGAGAAAGGGCGATCAGGACAGAAGACATTCCACAGATTCATTCATTTACACCACAGGCAATTTACAACCAAGACAAGCAATTTTTTTCCTCTTAACAGAAAGGGAACTAAGCAAAATAAGGAAACAGAAACTGACTCAGTTAAGAAGCAAGTGGTTAATCTGACAAGTGGAGACATTGTCTTATTTCTGATGTTCTGCATTACGTTAATCTCTCCACACACTAAAATGTTCTCTGTATTGGTACTCTCCGTAAATGGTACGAACATTTTATTGTGGAGTTTGGTGTTGGTAAAGTGTTAACTGAACCGAAAAATGCAGAAGAAAGGGAGAATGACTATGTCGTGTGCTGGCTTTGCTGGAGTGTAGGAAGTACACTAACTAGCTTTTAATTAGTATTTCGAAGTGCCTACAATGTGGATTCTAACAAGCCCACATGAGGTCACTGAGCTTGGGTGTCAGCAGTATTGTTTTCTCTGTCAGTCAACAGTAAGATGTATCGTACGAGTCGGGAATCTAAAATATCATAAGGAGGAAAATCACCCACCTGAATTCTACCACGGTTTTTTTCCCTTTTTGCTGCTGATTAAAAAGTTCACTTTTCACGCCAAAATCTGAACCTTTGATGGATATCTCCTGTAAAACTTTCTAACAAAACGAGACATAAAAAAAATCAGTGTAGATGCCTTGCAACCGAAGACAACTACTATGTGCATCACTAGCTTTATATATTTTTCTAGAGTCTCAATCCTGAATTTTCTAGAAAAGCTCCACAAAGGCTTGATTATATGATAATATTACTTTTAGCTTTATTTTCCTTCCTTTCCCTAAAAAATGGAAAACACGTGGATTTCTCTGATTTAAGAGCTACACATTTATTACAAAACTTTACTGGCATAATGTCAAAGGGGTTACCTTACTGCCCAATCTCATCTAAACACAGTTCCTATACTACCTTCCCTTAAATTCTATTCTGTGAGCATAAGAACTTGAGGTGTCTTTCACTCATAGGGCTTAATTTCTCAAGAAAGCCCAACTTGGATCACAGAATGACTGAAGGACAAAACCCCATATTGTCTGGTTCATCATATTGCTATATTTCACATATTCTTCTAATTTTTATTGAAAACTTTCCTCTGTGTATTGTATCAGTGCCCATGACACACACAAATGTCTATCTGGCTTAAAAAACGGCACATCACAATAACAGTTTTGGCATCTTGGAACTTGATGAATTCTGCACAGGAGATTCCTTACATTACTTTCTAAATATCTGACCACTTCTGGTTTTCAAAGCCAGTACTTAATTGGTTACAATTAAGTACTGTAGCTGTATTCATTTGGAAAATACATGATTTTGTTCCAGTGCAAGATCACTTCACTTTGACAGCAACATTATGACCTTCATGCCCGATCTCATAACTACTCAAGGCAGGCCAGGACCTCGAAACCAACACTATTTTGCTGATGCAAGCCAGCGTTAGCAGCGCTTGTTTCCTGGATAACATAGAGTAAGAAGCAATGCTGTCAAAAAACAGCGATTTATATGTGGATTTTAAAGAATATGAAACTAAAACAGCTCCAGTGTTTCACTTTTTTCACCCACACTAATAATCAAAGGAATATAATGGTTGTAGCTGTTTTGTAGTTCTGTTCTGTAGTTTCATGTCCAATAATCCCATCAGCTCATTCAACTGTGTGATCAAGCACAACAGCACATTCAGATTTCAATTAAAGACAAATACTTAAACATTCAAGAATATTTGAGAGCTAAGAGACAAGGAGAGTCCACTTGCTACATGTACATCTTTCTCTTTTGTTTGCTAGAAAGTTAATTTTATACCTCAGATCATGGTCCTGAGAATGGAGGAATGTTACATCAATAACCATCCAACTGCATCCTTCAAAGTGTCAATAAGGACACAAAGCAATAGATGTGTTATCTACACCTCAGCATTTCCAAAAATTGATAAATTACCAAAGTTCTTAAAAACCCAGTAAAGACTAGTAAGATTCACCTCTGCCAAGAGTGCTCGGTTTATTTTAAAATGGATTACTCCAGTGCCAACTCCAACATCTTCAACCACACTGTCTCTCTTTATCTAAAAGAACAAAAATATGAGTTAAATGATATAATGCATTTACTTAAAACAGATGGACAAACGGCTTTCTATCTAAAATAAATTCATCCTTCTGAATGTTAATGAAAGCACAACACAAATTAAAATTATTTATTAACATGATTAGGTCTGTCTCTTGCTTGCCAGGATAGGCTCCAGCTCCCCTTCAACTCTATGCTGAATAAATTAGAAAATGGATGGATTTATGCCTCTTGAACTTCAGGCATCTTTTAATCTGTGGGTGGGGCAATAATTTGCATTCCACCTTTTTTGGGTTAAAGAAATAGGTGTTTTTCTTCTGAATTTGTAACTGCTGGGGAAACTGAAGACCAAACAATTGCTTAACTGAAAGATTCAGGTATTAAGAAATTAAGAACATTAGATTTCAGGTCAGATAACACATCACAATGCGCAGACATAGTCAGTACAAATTATTCATGAAAAACTGCTCTTCCAATTCACAGCTTTAAATAGATCAGTCCCATCCCTCTTTTATGTATTTATCCCACAGCTGAGGGATCACCTATGTGTGGAGCACTATGGTCAATACCTGTTGACCAAGCAGTTCTGTCCGAGTCTGGATATCCCCCGCAGACTGGAGCAGGCCATTCTGCACCAGGGAACTCACAGACACACGGAAATCAGGGGACTGCCTGGAAAACAGCACAGCAATTCTAAACTTGCTGTTGAAGGCCCTTAAAATAGTAAATGAAAAGTTACAGAAAATACTACAAAAAAGTGTGGACAAAAAAATAAATAAATGAGGGATATCAATCAAGGGCTTCCGCACTGGAAGATCAATTAATCAAATAACAGGGCAGAATGCTTAGGGTTATGTACAGAACCCCTGGACGGGCCTGGTTGTCTGTAATGACGGTTCGAATAGGTGCAAGAAGACACTTCAGTGACTATGGAAGAGGGGTGATTGTTCAGGTCCATGTAGTGAGCAAGACAGCCCAACTTGCTGATTCTTCCCGAGTAACGGGGTCTGAGGTTGTGTCAGCATGAAACTCCGAGGAAAAGACATCGGCAGCCAGGAGCAACAGTGGGCAGAAGCGCATATTCCGGGAACGCGAGATGTGTTCATTAATTCACGGTGCACGACAAAAAAAAGTGAACGAGTGCTGACTGACTGATGGCAAATTGCAACCTGGAGTGTGAGCAGACAGAGGGACACACTTAACTGTTTTTTTGAGACAGGGACAGCCGACACTGCTGCAATGAAGGACTCCTCTGATGACCCCAGGACCTTGGATAGCTAAATCAGAAAGCGCAAGTATTACAACGTGCACAAGCAATTTCTTTACAGTAACCTTGACAGAGAACAACATTGTAAATTCTAATCTCCTATAACTTACAATTTTACAATCTAAGACATTTCAGTAATGCGTCACTAAATTATTTACAATAACAAGGAAAAGTTAGACGACAGAGGCACACTTGTATGCCTGCTAAATACCAGCAAAAAGAAAAACAAAACACGAATGTAAGTCGTGCATACAAACTTTGCAATATGACTTTGACACCAACATCTAAACTTAGAGGTATAACTACAGAGAACTACCTTTGATGCAATCGTTCGTCTGAAATAGCAAGCCATGTGTAAAATGAAAATCAGATTGAATAGAATATTGTAATTTTTCTGATTGCTATATACATCCTAACTCATTTTCTGTTTGAGATACTGTAGATGACTTTCAGTCCATGCTTCCGATTTGCGTTTTATCTGACCTTCGAACTTACGTTTACGTCTGTATTTCGGCCAATGAAAGCGCTCCGTCTCCGAATCCGCCCACCGTGACCTCATACGTCACTACCGCGGGAAAACACGTTTGCGCTGCTCATTTTTGAGAGACGTGTTGGTTTTCTTTTTAAGGCTAAAAGAGCTTACAGATGGCCACTTCTTCTGTGTCGAAAGTAAGGCTGAAATATTTTCATCATATTAGTATTCTTATCATTTTAAAAAATGGTTAATATTTTATAAAAGTGAATTCACCCGAGTGTCAGAACATTGTTTTCTTAAATCGTGCGTTTCTATGCAAGGTAGTAAGTTAGTTTGGGGGCTAAGCGTTTGCTCTGTTTCTGTATCCCTTACATATTTGATTACTAGAGCAAATGTTGGAATTAGGACTTGAGGTGTCTAGATGCTATTTGATCATTATCTCTACATTGTTGTTTTAATTTTAGGCACTAAGTGGTGTTCAGCCCATCTTACAGTAGAATGTCGTGAACTTAACTTGAAGCATTTGGAAAGCTGCAAAAAGCAATTTACATTTTACGTTTCTGAGGCTGTAAAGGACGCAGATTTTGGACGTCTGAACGGCCAGGGTGTGGAATTCACGGATGGTTCACAGGGCTGGGCTGGTGAACCTGTTACTTCTCCCTACTTAATAACCGGGAGACCACGCGAAATTCTGACCCACTAGTCAGAAATTTTACAAATAAACAATTAGACCATGAACCATAGCAGTCAAGAACCTGGGCTCTGCATTTCTGTGTTGAATGGTCCTGTTCCAAATCATCCAACACAGGTGAACTTATTATCGAGATTACAGACACTTTGTGAGCGCTCTGTCTTAGTTAAAATACAAGGCTCGGCCGATGTTATGGCTTCATCTGTGACGTCCAGGTCAATACTTTGTGTCAAACCTAGTGTTGAATGCCTGTTAGGAAACGCTGCCAGCTAATTTGAATGGTTTATGATTAGCATAAACTAGGCTTATCCCACTCCTTATATTTCTTAAATTTTCTAAGTGCACAGATACTTCATGGCGTTCTTATCACTGTATTATACTTGTCAGCAGTGATTGGTTGGTTCGCAACTGTAATAGAAACTGCAGTTCCCTGACTTGTGCCGTGTTGAGTTCAGGTAAACCCCTGAGGAGTCTGAGCTGGACTGCAGCCTCCAGAGCTCCAGGACCTGCTGGACTTCATGGGCCTTAGTACATGTGCATTGCGCTTTCAGATCGGGGTGAATCACGTGCTTACTGCAGCAGTGCAACATGCTGTGGGAAAGTACACCTTGTGCTTTGCTTTTAAGACCAGCGGGCTGGGCTGCCAGTCGGTCCATGCTGATGTCTGCTGAGGTTGTCAAGATGAATGCCGTCTGGCCTGTGAGCGCCGGGCGGCCTGTTGCGCGCTTCTGACCTTCTTTTTCTTCGCTGCCTCTGTCTGATATTAAGAAAAATGAAAATAAAACAGTGAACAAATATCTGAATAATTAAACTCCTTAAAACCCTGATTGCGCCGAATATGTTTTAAACATCTATTTTTAGGGCTGCTTTGTGTTTAAGCCAAGTTCTAAGAAGAGGAGGAGGACTCTATCAATAGGTGAGTGATCTTCGTGCTCCCTCTCAAGTGCTGATCACATTGCCTTACGGACGTGTCGTCGTTGCTGTTTAACTGATGGTGTTAATAACACAGAGTATACTTGCTAATCAGAAGTCTAGATTTGTTTTATTAATAGACTTCTCACCTCATTTCAGACATCGTTACAATAATAGCTTGTTTATTTATGTTTTGCTGATACCATTGTTATATAAAGGCTGAGAGGCAGTAAAAATGCTATCCCATGAGTTCAGATTGTTTTATGGCTCCACGCAGGTTTAGCAATACAAACGTAGGCCAAGCTGGTACGGATTGCTGGCGTAGTACCATGTGACCTGAAATCACGCAGGTGTGACTCATGCCCGTCAGTGGGTCCACCTCTGGTCCTGGCGGGTGCCTGCCGTCTAATAAGCATGGCCTGACAGATGTCCAGTTGTCCAGTTTTGCTGTCAGGGCTGTAAAGCTGCAGGGGCTTGTGGTGGAGAAGGTAGGTGTGAAACACAAGCACCCAACCCATTCCAGAAGTGTCAACTGGATTGGCAGTGGGCTGTTGGAAAGGTGGGTGCTGGGTGGACAAGAGATATTTGCACAGATCTGGCTGCGTTTGGACTATGGGACGATTTGGGCTAAGGCAATATAATTCCTGAATACTATATGAACTTCAGAAGAACTTTACTCTTGACTGGTTTTGAAACTTTGTAAATATGGTATAGAATGTCTAGCTGTTTATATCTAGCTGCATTCTAGTTTTTGAAAAGCATACTTTATGGAAATATTCTATGGAGCAGTTAATAAGTTAGTAAAATGTGTCAAAGTAACCACAATTTAAAGCTGTATGTATTTTATTTATTTACTCACAGCGTGACAGGCTATCTATCCCCCCCCCCCAAAAAAAAAACAACCTATTTGTTTTATGTTTTCAATCTGGTTTTCAGAGGACTACTTTCAAAATGACAACATTGACCCGGAGACCAGCACACTGCGGTTCCAGACCTGTCAGTCGCTATGGGAACAAATGAAGACGGAGGTTGAGGTGAGGACTCTTGCCATGACATTGAAGCCATAACCCACAGGTCCACACCTTTCACGGCCAAAAGACACTACGATTCCTCGCGCAGGCCCCACAGCCGAACGGGACACCGCTCTCGGCCAGCGGCCGAGGGCCTGCGAGGTTGGAGGGAACGTCAGCAGGAGATGACGCGGTGAAACACGAGCCATTCGGTGACTGTGTGGACATGCTTCTGAAACCGAGGCCCTTGTTTGCTCGTAGCGCCGTGGGAGTCTGGAACAAGCAGCCATGAGGCCAAAGCCCGATAGCTTGAGCCAATAACTCAAGTTCCTTCGCGAAGCGGACTTGGGGTCAATTAGCTGCCAAATGGGCCAGATGGAAGGAATAGCCTCCCCTCCCATGTAAACTTTCCTGTCTTCTGGTCTCTGCTCCACGTGGTGCTGATGGTGCTATAATAATAATTGCTTACACTTATATACTGTAGCACTTTTCTGGACACTCCACTCAAAGCGCTTTACAGGTAATGTAGCACTTTACAGCCATAGTGCTCCAGAACGCTCCCCACACATCAGCTCTCAGTGGGGAGGAGAGCGGAGTGATGGAGCCAGTTCAGAGATGGGGATTATTAGGAGGCCATGATTGGTAAAGGCCAGGGGGAAATTTGGCCAGGACACCGGGGTAACACCCCGACTCTTTTCTCCACGTGGTGCTGGCAGTACTATAAGTCACCTTGGAGCTCACAGCGCCTCACGGCGAGTGTCTGTCAACGTCGTCTCTCCCCTTGTGTGGTCAGCAGTGGCCAGTTCAAAATCACGAGGGTTTAAAAAAATTGCGATTCCCGTTATTTATTGATTTTTTTAAAAAGAGAAAAGCAAATCCTTCCAGCTGTCTTGGTCTGTTAGTTTTTTTTAAAAACAGATTGGCACTTCCTTTCGTACGCAGGTATTTCAGGAAGAACTCAATAAGAAAATACTGGACCGCCTGCTGGAGTTCGCCCGGAAGACCACTGCCACCTCCCGGTCGACTGCGGACGACTGGGCGTCCCGAATGAGGTCCAGCGAGATCCCCACTGCGGCTCTGGTGCTAGGTCAGTCCTGTCGGGCGCGACGCAGTGACCTGCCAGTACGGGTGGCCTTGGTTGACTGTATGTCAGTATTTAAATGCAAGAGAATTTATTATTCAAAAAGCACAAAGTCAGTTAATGCTTCAGAGGTTGACGGGTTTGGAATGAGGCTGAAGAGTCCTCCGGGATTCAGACGATAAACACTGTGGAAAGATTTCAAGAGAACAACATTTTAGTAATGCGGTGCACTTTATATGTGAAGAAAATCAAGAGGGGTAAATCCCGAGTAATGATTCAGTGTCATTTTTCTGTTTTTCCCCCCTTCTGATGGTTCAGATAGGATTTGAACATTTTGAGTGTTGTGCAGAGCTACTGCAGGTGATGACGGGAATAGGTCTCAGCCGATCCGTCTGAAAAGTAAAGCAGCCTGCCTCTCTTGTCTTCCTCTTGAAGGGGTCAACGTGCCTGACCACGACGTGACCCTTCGGCGCTTGTCTGAGCTTCTGCAGCAGTCTGCGACGCCCTTTGTGGTCTCCCTGCAGTCGAAGGAGTGTTCTGGTGCGTTGCAGATAGTTCAGTTAAGGGATATGTGGGAGATCTGTGTCAGGACGTGCAGTTTTCTACAGTAATCGGAACCGACGGTCTGATTGAACAAATAGTTGGCTTCAGTAATTGTACTGGAATGTGTTGTCATGGAGGTTTGAGGCAGCCCTCATTAGAAATCATTATTTTCTTGCGACTCTGTTGAAGGGTGGAGATCAGTAAAGTGTTTTATGTGTAAAAATGAGCGGAGTTCCCTTGGTGACCAGCACTGCACGTGATCGTGATCGTGATCTCCATGTCTGCAGTTCGATTGGCGTTGGCCTTGAGTCTTTAGCTGACCTGGACTGGCAGGCGTCCTGCCGTGGAAAGTGTTTAATGCCGCCGGTTTGTGTGTGTGTGTGTGTGTGTGTGTGTGTGGTCTTAGCCCTCAAGCAGATGGTCCAGAAGGTGCTCCTGCAGCTGATGGGCTGCACTGTCTCTCTGGATGAGGAAGAGGAGGAGCAGCCGGCTCTGTCCGAGGCCGCGGACCTGCCCAGGAAACGGGCGCACTGCTCCCTGGCCACACTTTGCGACTGGTACCAGGCTGTCCAGAAGGTAGGACGCTGACGCGTCTTTTCTATGTTGAGGTCTGAAGAAAAAGACTGAGTTGACGAGTTGAGTTTCCGTTCTGCTTTGGATAGACTGTTTTGAGTGGAGCAGAGCTATGGTAGCCCTGGGAGCTTTTGCTGACGGAAGTCAGTCTGTTTTTCCTCGTTCTTTGTGAGCGGTTCTCTTACTTCGTCTTGAGAACCAGTTCTCCTGAAGTGTAGGGTAGTGGAGAACCACGTTTGTCTTGGTAAATCTGCCTGCGGTTCTGAAATTCCCGACCAGTGATAAGAGAGTGCATTGTGGTGATGTTAAGTGACCCCCATTGGTTTTCCTAGTCTGGCCTGATTGTGAAATGCCAGCAGATGGTGAATTAATCTCTTCACCAGCAGAGCCACAGAAATTGTTTGCATTGGGCTTTTGTTGTAAACAGATTTTCTTTCCAAAATGCACGCCTTAATTTATTCTTGTATTTTGAAGGCTTCAGTCCTTTCTTCCTTAAGTGGATAGATTCAAGTAATAATAATTCTGATAATCGAAGAATATGCTTAGTTGCCCATCATTTGACCTTTTTTTTGCCATGCGCATCCTTTTGCTGATGTAGGGACCAGGGTCTCAGCTCGTGCACGTGACTTGTGAGAGACTGCCATCCCAAACCCTTGTCACAGCTCGCATTTTGGATTTTCTGGGATGCAACATTGCGACAGTGTGTACAGTGTACAGTGTGTACATTGCGACAGTTTTTTCATCACAAGATCCTTTTGGGAGCTTAAAAAAAAGCATGCAAACTACTACTTCTAATTCTTTTTAAAATTGCAAAGAAAATAGACGCAAGGACCAACAATGTCTTAGAAGAACAGTCCATACACATCATATTAAGTTAATATAAATGTATGTAATACTGTTGCACTACTTGTAAATAAAATGAATAAAGGAACAGATGATAAACGTCTGTAATTAGATTATTCCCTCAAGTATATTATTACCAGCTGTAAGGTTGCTATTTTGAGATGCGTTTCTGTGGGATACTGAAAGCAGATGTCTCGCCAGACACCCTCTTTAGAAACGGTAACGGCTTTTAGTTACCGCTGTAGATGTGGAATGAATGTTATATGACTTGTGGAAATCGGGGACGCTGAAAAATAACTTTTGGAATGCAGGTGTAAGAAAACAAAAATAACGTTTTGGAATGCAGGTGTAAGATTTGAGCTGACCTGGTGGTGGTGGTAGTAGGAGTACCGTCAAGCCAGTGTCTTTCACCCTCAGATAGTTGGCACGGAAACGTGATCCTCCACCGTCAACACCACCCCACCCCTGCTGCCGCCCTGTATGGGTTATTAGAGAACCTGGCGCCTGACGTGGGACACGAACCCACTGCCCTGCGACTGAGTCTCATGCTCTACCGACAGAGCTAGTCGGGGCACTTTGAGTTGACCGGCTGGGTGTCAGATGTCATTCTTCATCAGTATTGACCATTCCAAAGCAATGTTAAGACATATTGTGATCATGCAAGCAAGCTGCTACCTAGAGGTTTAACACAGGCCCACTGTCCATGTTCACGTTCCTTGACGTCCACTTGCTGCAGAGCACTGGCCTACAGGCAGAGGTACAAATTGATCTTTGTGCGTAGGAGTGCTAAAACTGCCTCTCATTTATTTCTACATCGTTTCTACATCCCTTTTCCCCTCTCCTAACAGTTTTCTCCCGAGACCCATTCATTAGTATCAGACCACGAGTTTAATATCTGTCCGATACACTGGTACCCTTACACAATTGTTTTCATTCCTTTTGCCAAAACGGCACAGTTTGACATCTTTGTAGAGCAGTGGTCCGTGATGTTATTGGCACAGCTTGTATAATGAGAAACGCAGGACACAACTGATGAACTGCTGATGAAGGATGTCTATTCACAGACAACTGAAGGAGGTTTCATCCTATCAGGGTGCAGTTACAACTGAAGGTGAACTAGCCGTGTTCAGACGCGGGATGCAAGTGCCCATGTCTTTAGCTCCACTGAGATGTGTGAGTGTTGGTTACATACAGTGCACGCTGTATAAGGGTGTGGGTGTGATGGTGTCCCTCCTTTGTGCCTGGTTTTGTCCAGAAAGCTGCTGTGCCTTCTCCGTGTAAGAGCCGCGGTTCTCCTGGTGACGGTGTCGGACAGAGCCCGCCCGTTGTGGTGATTTTTAAGGACTTCGAAGGCTTCAACCCCAGAGTGCTGCAAGACTTCATCATCATTTGCAGGTAAGAAATTAGAAGCTGGAGCTTTCCAGACCTTCTTCTTCTTCTTATGGTTATTTGCTTGTCTGGCACCTCTTATCCAAGGTCATCTGCATTCGCAAACATTCCTGAGCCATCGAAGTTTTGTGAAATAATTAGTGTTGGACAGCATGGTGGGACAGTGGTTGGCATGGCTGCCCTGCTTCCCCGGGACCCTGGGTTCAAATTCCAGATGGGTTGCTAACCTGGTGGAGTTTGCATGCCCTCCCTAATTCCATGTGGGTTTTCTCTGGGTGCAAGATAGTAGCAGCGAAGACAACTGTAGGTGCAGATGGGAGGACCTGCAGGTGCAGTCGCTAGTGGGCAGCTGTCCCGGGCCCCACAGTTCAGTTGGCCCCCTTCATCAACGCAACAGAAGAGGAGGTGGATGTGATGTGAAAAGGCAGCAGCAGCTGTACTCTGACATTCGCAAGAGGCAACATGTACCGGCGAGCACCGAGCAGATTTCCGAGTAACATGTTTTATACAATTCCTCATTCAACATGTGTGTGGCACAGCGTGAAGGATGAGTCTTGTGGCACATGGGGAATGTAAAGAGCGGGTGTCCATGCACACACGCCGGCCGACACTTGTTGTAGCGTATTCACAGCAGGCTGCTTGGAAGCGACACTGCTTTATAGGGGCTATCGACCAAAACCGCTGATCGCAAGCAGAGTTAGGGAAACTTTCAGGAGCAGAGAAAGGAGGAAGAGGAGGTGGATGTGATGTGAAAAGGCAGCAGCAGCTGTACTCTGACAATCGCAGCGATCTGACCGTTGAACGTGACTTTTAGAACCCAGACTGCCGGCCAGATTTATTTCAGAACAAGATGAGAGGCGTAATGGTGTAAAGAGGACCTCTTGGAAATATGTGGTAATGATTGCTTTTCCAGAAGAATAATGAAAACAAAACTTCCAAACTTTTCCAGAGGAGCTGTGCAGGAGATTGCCGAATGGTGCAAGTATTGAAACGGTTTAATGTCTGTACCCCAGGAAATTTAATGCTTTTTTTTTTCTTTAATTGTCAATTCTTACGACCAAAATGATTTAATGAGGGGGAGTAATGACAAGGCATCTGAGTGAAAGATAGCAGTCTCGCGAATCATCTATTGAGCACATTAGAAACTTACAGTAACTAAATGGTTTAAGGGTTAGAGGTTTTCCATGACCACAGTAGAACAGTGTACATGCTGAGAAACGGAGCGAAAAATTACTTTTTAGATTGTGCTGTTAGTGATCACTCGCTGATCTCAGCCTTTCTAAGACGAACCTCGGTCATTAAACATCGAGCAGGTTCCGAACAGGAGGTCCTTCATCCCCTCTTAGCTCATTTTAGCTTGGTGGCTTAAACATCCTAGTCCCATGTAGAACATTGGGTCAAGAAACGTGAACCTGAGACCTGGGAAATGAAACTGTCCTCCCTGCTTTCTTTCGTGTCCGTCTAAACCAGCCAGTACATCCAGAAGCTGCCCCTCACTTTCGTCTTTGGGATTGCTACCTCCCCCATCACCATCCACCACGTGCTGCCCCACTCCGTGTCCTCCCTGCTGTGTATCGAGCTCTTCCAGTCTGTGCCCTGCACCGAGCACCTGGCCATGGTCATCGACAAGGTAACCGGGGAGCGCCGAGCTGGGGCACAGCAGCCGCGTGGCGCCGCGATCGTCCACGTAGTGGGACCATATTGAAGGAGCTGTTGTACGCGGACAAAGCTCGGGTGCGTCCATCTTACCCAAGATGAGGAGCAAGACCAAACAGCCCAGTTAAACTCCAGAGTGTGCCCAATGGCCAGTCCCAAAAAGACAGACTGGCCATTGGGCACACTCTGGAGTTTAACTGGGCTGTTTGGTCTTGCTCCTCATCTTGGGTAAGATGGACGCACCCGAGCTTTGTTTATCAGCCTCAGCCCCTGTTTGTCACCACTGGGTTCTGCTGCACAAGTCTCCGCTCCCCTTCTGAACGAGAAGCGTCTCTGTAACTGGGGAGAGACTGGGGCTTGATGTTTCTGGTTTGTGCAGTGGGCCTGGGGTGGGGGGGGGCTGTCTTTGTCCATTGCTATGGGAACATCCAAGTGAAAACTTCCTGTGGAGCTGTGTATTAGATCAGTATGTTTTGGGGTTTTGCCTTCTGATAAAGGCTGTGTCTCGTTTGTTCAATCGTACCTCTGTACACTGGACGGTGAGTTGTCTTCTCGCGATCTGCGTCCGCCAGATATAGCGGTGGACCCCCAGTGTTTTCCTGTCGGAGATGTCTTTTTGGGTCACAGGACCACTCTGTCAGTTTTGTTTAAGGGGATTGTGTTCCGACTTGCTTGACAAAATCTGCTGTTTAATTTGTTCCCATTAAACTGAGGTGTAGTACGTTTGCAGCTTTAATGCTAATGTTTTAAATTGTGTATCTTTGTTTTTCTTTAATAATACTTCAGTGTTCAGGAGCTGGTGGTTAATTGTCTCATACAAAATTTGGCAGGTTAATTTTTTATTTCACGTCTTAGTTATTGTAGTTGAAAATAAAGGGGATGCCAAAATTAAACCTTGTTTGAACTTTGTTTATACTTCATTTTAAAGTACAGACTAATTTTAATAGTCTCTAGTTGGGACTGATTTTGCTATCGGCAGTTTGTCAGTATTTAGGCAAATGTGGACAAAAGGTCTGTAGATGAATCTCTGTGCTGTAACAGAACCGAAGGTGGACACCTGAGAAAATTGTGGGAAATAGGTGGTAAGGTTGCTATCCCAGTGTAGGACTGCAAGGAGTCACATTGCAGTCCACTGATGGTTTGAGATGAGTTTAATGGTGACAGAAATGGTCGTTCCCGGAGGACACTAAAGGAGAGGCACACGAGGAAGTACGAGGTGTATTTCCCACAGTGCCCTGAATTGCAGCAGTGTTACAGAGGGTTGTATAGTCAGAGACCAGTATGTTTATACCATGAACAGAGGTTTATGAGCCACCATTCCACTTGTGACCCAGTGGCTATTCTTGATTATGTTATTCCGCCTTTCTGCTATTTCTGAGGGGTCATGCACAACAGCACTTGCCTATTTAAAATTCCCTTAAGCCAGTTCTGGAGTAATATCACCAGGCCAGCCTCCGATTTCTACACCAAGTTATATTTTTGAGCAGGGTGAGGTCATAGGTCACAGATTTGTTTTTCCATGTTGAACAAAACATATCACCAATATTCACGATGAGACTTTCAAATGGGGCTGTACTGTATGATGTTTAAGACTCCAAAGCCTTTGCCTTTGTGTTTCTTTTGCTCTATCAAACACGTTGAATAAACTCTTGTTTCCCTTCACCTCCACAGCTTGTTTTGACCACTCAGTTCCCTCTCAAGCTGAGTGGCAAGGTGCTGCGTGTTCTCATTGGTATTTTTCTGTACCATGACTTCTCAGTGAGGAACTTCATCAAAGGCCTGCAGGTGAGGTAGAGGTTGAAAGATGTTACTGGTTTTGCCATTACATATGACTGAGCTCAGGTGATACTGGGAGTTCAGTGAGGTCCCTAGTGTGAGGATTCATTCCCTTAAGATAGTGGGTTTGAGTATCTGATTTTATTTCTTCTCAGTTATGACATGGATTTAATTAAAATATATATATAAATAGGTAGTTTATAAGATAGAGCTTTCACTGTCTTTACTCTCAAACTGTCCCTCATATGAGATCTGATCTTGATTTTGGAAATCTGTAGAGCTCACACAAAAGAAAAGCCCAAAGACATCACCAATCGCAGATTTACTCTAGTTTCCTTAAATTGTAAAAAAATGTGCCTTGTTATTTATACCGAATCTTTCATTCCTGTCTTCCCTGCTGTTCTGTAAGGTTATGCAGGAATGTTAAGCCCTTTAAAGGGGAACTGCAACACTGTTTCTATATTTCAAGGTTCGAAAGAATCAGCTTTGAGTGCATTTCAAACCACAATGAAAGTAAAATGTGCACAGTACCTTGTAAAACCTCCAATTTACATCACAAAATAGACCTAATTTCCAGGTACGCAAAGCGCCATATTCTGCAATTCAGAGTGAGGCAATAAAAAGTCAGATGACATCTTATTACATGGTAAACGAGCAGGCTTGTGAAGACATTGCTTTCACCCAATAGAATTATTGCTCTTGACTTCGAAGACATTTTTGCCAGCAAATACTACTTGGTAACTCTGCGTGCAGATCACGTTGGAACATTTCTGCAGTGAAATGTCTGCTGCACAACCTGTACTTATTCACTCGTACGTTACAGTACATCAGTCATCAAAGTGACTAGTGAGAAGGAAGGGCCGATTCACCGTAGCGAGACCAGGGGTTTGAGACAACACGACGACCATACGTTGCGTTCACAAAGTTCACGTTTTTTGCAGATTTTGTCAGATTTTTCTGTACCGTCAATTAATTTATTTTGTTTTCGAGATTCCATAACCAGCCCCAGAAACTGTGGGCGCAGTTGCCCTTTGAACGTGAACAGTGTCGATTTGCGGGGGCGATTTTGCTCCGCTTGACTTCGCTGCGTCTGCTTGTGTTGAACGGGGGTTGTTGCCTTGGCAGCTGGCCCTGCTGGAGCACTTCTACAACTCGCCCCTGAGTGTGCTGTGCTGCAAGAAAAGAGAAGCCCTGTCTCGAGCCCAGCAGCTCAGCCACGAGAACTGTGAGGGAGTGCGGCGGCTGCCGTCTTTCATGAGGTACATCGCAGCCCTGCCGCTTTGCTGTCGCTTTTCTTCAGTTGCACAATAAAGGCCCCTTTCGATTTTAGATCTCCAGCTTCATATTAATGGGGTTTTGGTTACAATATTCACCCTCTCTACATTATGCATGGTAAATGAGTAGAACTTAAAATACTTTATTGATTGCAGTTTCCAATATTCCCTCGGTTGTTTTTTTTTTAAACCACAAAGTTCTTGTGAAAAGCAATTCATTTACAAAATTTCTAGTAAGGGAAACGGTGCATTTTCCCATCATGTGTGTAGAATCGTTGGGTTTCTTCTGATATTTGGTTTTTAATTTTTTTTAATTGGCACGCACCACCTCTAGGCTGTACCCTGTCATATGTAAAGAACAAATAATCAATGAACCCACCTCAATGACTGACAGTGACCACACAATTTTCTTGAATGAATGGAGATAGGTTTGGGTAAAAGTTCATGAAAATTACAGGAATCAAGTAAAGGATTATGGGGGTTTTGTGTTTTTAGAAGGACACTAAAAGGGCCGCATGGAGACTGGAACAAGCTGTCCAACCATCATTTGTTGTTTTTATTTTAATTTTTGACTCAATTAAGATTCGCCCTGGATCAACTGTATATTGCAAAGTAAGCTTTGAACTGGAGTTTTTCTTCAAATTTTTTTTTTATCTGAAGGGAAAGCAGAAGTTGTTTACAGAAAGACTACTCATGAACTTGGGTTCTTCGTTCCCATGACATTTGAAACTATCAAAACCTCAGAGTGTTGCCTTTCAGTCACTGTACAGGGCATGTACAGTAACCATCTAATGCTGGACCAGCTCCATGGCATCTGCTGATGAAAAGTCAGATGAAACTTTGTTTGACCTTCTTGCTTATATAAGCTAGTATAGTCTATTTTAATAATCTCAAATGGGAACTGATTTTCTGTGGGCATTTGTCAGGATTTAAGTAAACATGGACAGAGTTCTTTAACAGCTCAAGGATGGTATGTCACTTAGATCACTTTATTGGCCATATACAATTTTTTGTTTTAGGTATGACTTTTCACATACCCCAATGTGCTCTCCATGAGAGACAGACAGGGAGAGAAGCTTGGGGTCAGAGCGCAGGGTCAGCCATTTATACGTCTCCCCTGGAGCAGCTGGGGTTAAGGGCCTTGCTCAGGGGTCCAACGGAGTAGGATTCCTCTGCCATCCGCGGGATTCGAACCGGCAACCTTCCAGCCACAGGCGCAGATCCTTAGCCACAGAGCCACCACCCCAATGTAATGCAATGTAAAATTACAATATTTGAGGATTTGCAGAAATTTTTAAACTTTGAAGCTATTGATGAAGATAATGCAGGTAACAAAACTGCCTTCCTTGCTGGAGCCCAAGGCAGGAGATACTTCCTGGGAAAAAAGGATCTGGGAGGATCTGGAACAAAGTGCCCAGCTTGTTTCAGAGTCCCAGGAATCTTTCAAGACCTGGAAAACATCCTTGGATCAATATGCAACTTGACAGCCGAATCAGAATGATGAAATGCAGAAAAGTGCACAATATATGTTTTATGATTTTATATAAAGTGGAGCTTCTCTACATATTTGAGAAATGCATGCACTTTATAATTAGTAGCTGTGCCTTTTTAAATGTATATCTTAGAACAAAAGTTTTTTTTTGCTCACTCAGAGAGATCTGAACGTTTCTGATTGTGCTGAAAGTTTACCATGTTCACAGATAGACTTTTTCCAAATACTGCTTCTCACGTTCTGATCATCATTTTTCATCAGGTACATTGAAAATCAGGAACCTCAAGAGCAGATTGAGTTGTTAACAAATGATCAGCACTTGAAGGTAAATAATTTGGAAGGGGACTGAACTACTCATAGATCAGCACAGTTCCCTAATTGTAATCTGTATGGTTTATTTTTATTGAGGTTTTTATTTCAGGTAATTTTTTAAGGTTATTAAAATTTGAAAGGAACATTAGGTAGATTGTTGTGTGCTGTCATGTGTCTCTTGACTTTTAAAATGCCTTTTTTTAAGGATGTGATCTCTTTCTGAGGTGTTCAGTGGATAGCGTTCTTGGCATGGGCATCTGTAGGATACATTTGCAGTGAATTCTTTTCATGGCTTGACCTCCTTATTTGAAATAAGATTTTGTGTGACAAAACCTTAGCATCGCAGAGTTTAAAGTATCCTCTGAGCTCGATAATGAGTGAAATTAGTTTTCACGTCGTGCTGTTCGATAGCGTGGTTTGTGAGGTAGACTGATGTATTCTTTTGTTTTAAAATTCATTTGAGGATGTGTGTCAAAGACTGCTTCGAGATCTTCACACTTACCACAAGCAGTACTACCCTGTCCTCAGGTGCCTGCACACCCTGACTGCCACCCTTCCAAAGCACCCCTTGGGTAAACAGGTGAGCACGGAAAGATGCAAGAGGGATTACGCTCAATGAAATTGTAAAATATTTCAGGAATTTGCAAAGGCAACAGACTGTATGACACAGAAAGAAAAAGAAAAGTAGTTTTCTTAAGTTAAAAGAAAGGAGATTTTTTCACCTGTTTACTTCTGTTACTGCATCACATGATTTGAGAAATACCTGATTGCTAGATGCAAGATTAAGTTTTCTCAGAGGATAAAATCTCAGTCTCTTTAGCACGGAAAAGACCTGGCAGTTTGAGGTCTCAAGTCTTGGAAAAAATTCTCGAAGGAATTGACCCTATCAACTCAAATACCAAATACCTGCTCAGTGTCAAGCTGATAGCCAAGAGTGGGGTCTAAAGAAAACAAACGGAAACCAAATGCAAGTGGATATACAGCTGCTTGAGACAGAGGAATAACGAGTGTCCTGTCTCATTTGCTCTGCTTTAGACTAATTTGTTAAGATACAAAGGGTCATTTTCCACTTGTGGAATAAAAAAAAATGATTGCCTCATCCATCTCACACACACGCACTGGCATAACCGGCTGCCCAGTAGTCAGTTTTAGATCCTTTCACATCCGGTTTTTTTTTTTGTTGTCCTCAGATCCGAGAGCTGCATGTCACTTGTCTGGAGAGGAACGTTTGGGAATGTGAAGAGTATGCTTCCGCTCTCCAGCTGCTGAGGTAAATGTGTCCGGAGAGACTAGGCTCGTTGTCGAGGACGCCCGTGCCTAAAATGGTTTTAGAGGGGAGGGTGAAAAGACTTCTGA